TCTTCTTTCTTTACCATGCAGGCCTCACTTTCATTCTTCTTCTTTCTCTCTTTCCACGCTTTGACGTTTCAGTTCTCTGTTCTTGCAAATCGTATCATTGTTTTCTCTCTTGCAGGCCATTTCGCTTATTTCTCTGCCTCTCACTCCTTTTTCTTCTTCTTCCACCACAAATCTCTCCTATATATGCAATCCCTAAAAGAACTACTTACTTTAATAATCCGTACCCTTCTTATTCGCTATCGAAGGTACTGTTTCGGCAAAAGCTTATATTTTTTCCTTTTTTATTTTCTTGGTCTCGAATCATGCTCATTCCGATCGATATTAAGTGTTTTTGGATATCTTTTGTTAAAAGTGAATTTGAGTTTTGGGTTGTGGAAATGCTTGATCTTGTGTTTCAATAACATGCTTAGAGTGTAGACTGCATCAAAATAGTGTTTTATGAATTAATTGTGTAGTTGCTTTATAGTCTGTAGCATACTCGCGTCCTATAGACTTTTGCTCCCTCTAGGTTCAGTATCTTACTATGGTTTCCATAAATTCTTCATCATCAATTTTGGGATGCTATTGTTACTTATTATTAATTGACTTGTTGAAATAATGATGTAGGATATGCTTAATTTGGTTGTTTGATCTCAAGAACAAATGTGGTCTACTATACCAGAATCGACAACAATGTGGTCTACTGTTCCGCTGAGCGCGACGGAGAACAAGGGCTTATTGGGGGGTCACTAGTGAGACCAATGTGTGGAGGACGATGGAGTTGACATCATAGATAGAAAATAGAGGACAATGGGTTTGAAAAAGAAGAAGAAGAAGAAGCAAAAGTGGGAGACGTAGAAAGAAGAGAATGGCTTGCAATAGAGAAAACAAAGAGACGATTTGCAAGAGTGGAGAATTGAGACGTCAAAGGTGTGAAAAGAAAGAAAGAAAGAAAGAAAGAAAGAAGAAGGAAAGTAGGACCCACAATGAAAAAAAAAAGAAGCAAAACAAAAGGATTTTTTTTTTGGTCGAAAAAATAAAAAAAAAGTTGACTAAATAATAGAAAAATGGATCACTTTTATAGAGTTATACCAGAAGTGGGTTACCCTAGTGACCACTCTTCCCACATGAGAAGAGGAAGGTTGGGAGTTCGAATCCCCACCTTCTCAGGGGAGTTGGGGTGCACATGTGTGGGTTTCGACTTTCACGTTCTGCAAAGAGGTAAGACAAAAGTTCGAGAGTGAGTTGAAAGTTAAAATAAGACAAAAAAAAAATGCCAAAAGTGGTGGGCCCTGCAAGATAGTATAGTAAAAAACACAAGAAAAGAAGGTCTCTAAGCCAAATGAGAAGTGGAAAAAGCACAACCTTTTAGTACATTAGTTGACCAAAGGCCATGACACCTCGACAAGGATTGTTGCGGTTATGTGACCCTAGCCAAGGCAAAGCAGAGGTCACTGACCCAAGGGGTGGATCTCACCTACACGAAGCTTGCCGGCATCGACTGACCCTCGGCGAAGCTTATAGCATCGTGCGAGATCCGGAGGCCTAAAGCTCTTTGAAAATGTTGCACCAAACGCAACTAGCTTTAAACCTTAAAATGTAAATCATATAAAAGCTCTCACAGATCCGAGTGAATCGATTTCTCCAATTTTCGATTAAGAAAACCTAAGGCCTTATTTAAGATAACTCTAGATTATCTATGTCCGTCTTGGTACGATAATTAAGACAACTCAAATGTACTCAAGACTCATTTTGAAATAGTTTCCTTCCAACAAAAATAAGGGAATACTGCTTTGGATATCAATCGTTTATCTTCCCTGTTAAGGCTTTTACGAAATAGCGTTTGTTACATTTGGGGGTTAGGATAATTTGGGAATTAGGGGTGGTGTCGTTTAAGAGAGTAATTTGTTCTCCTTGGTCACGAGATTTCGTGGGCAGATGCAAAATGGTACTTTTGAGAAGACAAAAGGTCACGATTGATGAACAAGCGAGATTCAGCCCAAACTCATAGTGAGCTAATGATCTAATTATGATCCGCGATGACTAGACTGCAAAAACTTAGAGGATTCAATAGAAATCTCCCAAATTCTCCGTGATCATAAATTGCATCTGACATCTTATGCATTTTTCTCTCTCTCTCTCTCTCTTTCCTCTAGAAAGAAGAGATAATTAAAAGGCAGTTGGAAACTCTTTTCGAGCTTAGCAAACATACCGTTTCTTTTAAATAAGGTGTCGTATATCTAAATTCGATCCTATCAATGATGCAAGAAAGTAATAGAAATTCACACAACACAAGAATTTATGTAGTTCAGCAAGGGAGATGTTCCGCCTACCTACGTCCATGGGGAGAAGAGATCCGTTTCACTAATAACGTAGAAAAGTGTACAGCCACTCTTTTTCACCCCCTACCTCTGTTTTAGAGACCTGTTTTGCTCTAAATATATATAGCCCACAAAGCCTAAAATATTTAGTTTTCCCATATAAATCATTCTATGACTGAACATAAAACGTCTTTGGCGGCCCGGGGGCGCTGCCCCCGCGACCCCCGCCCGCACCCCAATGCTGTCCAGTCGTCAGGGGGTCTTTCGGAACCGCCTCATAATCTCTTGAATAACAAAATACAAGACATCAACCTCAACATAAGATGGTACAAAATTTTTTGTAAATACGGGACGTGATAGGGGAAACCGTGCAAAAATGAACTTCTGTTAGAAGACCCCTGTTGAAATTTAGTGTTTTGAGGTTGTCCGGAAGCCGTTTGGCCTCTCATTATTGTTCGAATGAAATAAAATAAACTGAGAAATCATAAGAAATGCGAACAGCTGGTAGAAGGTGATCGAGGCACACCACGCCAGGGTGAATATCACTTTTTGAAGAGGGTAAATAGGACGAAATGTATTTTAAGAAAAGCTTGAGCTCTTGTAGCAATTAACATTGGCAAACTAGCTTTTCTAGGATGAAATACAAAAAGGAAATACAATTGGAGGAAAAAAAAATGTAAGACGATATATATTTATAACTTTTGTTTGGTGGTGATAGAGGAAAGACTGGCCTAATTCCTTAGACAAAATACAAACTTATGGGTGTAGCCCAACTTTGTCGCGAATTTTCATTTGTCTAAAAATGATATAAACGTAGCCCAAGTCCGGCGCACGGTAATTTGCCTTCCAAATCAAAGGTGAAAAGGGCGGCGGACGTGGACTGTCCACCTCAGGTCTTTGCTGACATGGCGTCCAAATCGAAGAAACAATGCCATCTTCTCAAGCCTTCATCAAAACCGACGGTAAGAACCCTAAGTTTTTTTTAACTCGAGACCCCAATTTTGCCCTGTAATTGACAACCCACGTTGCAAGTGATAAACCCTGTAATTGGCATTGTTTCTTCGATTTGGAAGCGGAGTAAAAAAAAACGCTAGACTCGCACGGTCCACATTAGTCACTATGTCAACTTTTTATCTTTGATTTAAATGATAGTCCAACGGACGGTATATTGGACACCAATAAGAAGTTTGTGCATTTTTTAGAAAAAAAAATGAAATAAAAAATGAAAATTTGTGCTAGGATTGACTTTTTTTTTTCAAACACATAAATTTGTGCTTTTTCAGGATATTAGATCAAGAAAAGACATGGTTAGCAAAGCACCAACGATGAAATTAAAATAAATTGTGAGAAAGTAAAACGCAACTGCTTTAAAAAAATCTCTACGGTGGAATGAAATATTTTCGAAAAATGTGACTCTACTATTTGAATTGCAAAGCTCAAAAACAATTCGATCACAAAGTTAATTTTGGGGGCCACATTGTCACCTTTTTTTTTGGTAGAGCTTTACTTGAATAACCAAAACAAAGCGATTTTGGACCAGCGTCTTTGTAGTCTTTGTATTCGACAATTAAGATTAGTCAAATCGGAAATTGAAATAATTCTTGTTATAAAAAAAGGATTAATATTAAGAAAAATTCCAAACTAGTACACTTGTAACAAATGTATCACAAATTAATTTTTTTTTGGTAAGGACCACAAACTAATTTTTTTACCACCAAAAAATCAAAAACTGATACATATGTGATAAATTTACTAAAAATTAATTTTTTGACCACAAAAAATCCGAAATTATTATATTTACGATAAATTTACCCTCTATTAATTTCTGTTAAATTGGATTAATACCATGAAAAGTCACAAAATGATATACCTGTGATAAATGGAGGGTAAAATCCTAAACCGGTACACTCGTCAATTGCTACGTGTCATCCAACTCAGCAATTTGACGGTAAAATTTAACGAAAATAAACGAAGAGTAAATTTATCACAAGTGTACCAGTTTATGATTTTTGATTGTCCAGAAAATTGATTTATAGTATATTTATCACAAATATATCAGTTTTGGGTTATTCGTGGTATTAATTCTAACAAAACAACTCGAAGGAAATATACAGCATTGCCAAAAAGAAAAAAAACAAGTTTCAAATAAGAGAGTCCCTTTACGGAAGGAAATGCGCAAGATCCAATGGCAAAAGCGTCTTTTCCGGGGGGGCGCACCGTTTCATCAACGCGTCTCCCTCTGTCGTTCCCCATGTTCCATTTACTTTCCCCTCAAAAAAATAAAAAAAATAAAAAAAATAAAAGAGAAAAAAAAGAAAAAAGAAAATTCACTCCCACTCTCTCTCTCCCCGGGCGCTCCAAAAGAGGCTTCAACTCAAAGCAGGGCACCCACGCCTCCGTGCCTTCCGATTCCCTTCGAGCTCACATCAAGAAACCCATCCCCCCCACCCGTCAATCGCTCCCCCAAGATTTCCACCCCATTTCTTGATCTCGAACTCCTCCTTCGTCTCCTTTGATCTCATCAAGCAACAGAGCATTTTCCATCCATTCTTGCGGCAGTTCTTGCTCGTTGATGATGGCACCAGCAACTGCTTGAACCTTTTTGAGAGCGGGTTAGAGATCTCCTGCGCCAGTCTCAGATCCTCCGAAGTGGGTTCTCCTTCTTTCGGCTTTTGGTCCAAGGATTTCCCATCGGGAGAGCAGGGAGATTGTTTCAAGAAAAACCTTTGATCCGGGGGCGCCTGTCTTGTCGAAAAGCTTTGCGTTTTCAGTCGCCCTCCGCCAGGACTTCTTGGCCGCACTATCATGTCCCCTTTCGCCTTTTCTATCTCTAGTGGATTCCTCCCCCGTCTCCATTGCTCGGAATAAAAATTAAAATACCCCCGCTAAAAAATTCCCCTTGTGTCGTGCCTGTTGGAAAGTTGCTGTCCTCGTGCCTCCCTTTTGTCCCCGAGCGCCGTTGAGTTCGAGATTGAGGCGCTCCTCTGTTGTTTTTCCCACTTGGAAGTTCGAGGTTTTTCTGTACCCTTTTGGGGGAATCTTTGCGGTGGGTTTCGAGGTGGAGTCCGATCACTGGTGTGCAAGGATTTGGCTCGCGGGTCGTCTTGAGAGGGGAGAGAGATTTGTTTGATGCGCTGTTGCTGAGATGCAGCCTGATCAGCGGAAAAAGGTGGGATTTTCCAACATGCATATATGATTACATGTTTCGTGTTTCGGATGTTGGTTTTCGTGGAAATCCAAGTTCGTCGAGTAAATGTCGTATGGCGGATCGGAAGGGGTCTTTCTGTTTCGATCCAATGTTGAGAGTTGGTCTCTGAATTTTTCTGCGGTCTATCTTTACTGGGCTTTTTGGGTTCTGTGGCGAGCATAATGCTTAGATGACCGTGTGGGACAGAACGGTTTGTCATGTTCATTTCTCTCGGCTTCTCTGCCATTTGCTTTAAACGGCCCTGTTGCATCCTGGGTCCCACTGGGCGCGTTTGGATTGATGGTTTGGATGTAACTTGTCTTTCTTCTTCGGGATGTGAAATTGGATCAAGAACCGTTACTTCTCCTCGCAAATCCAATTCTCCTGGCACGTAGTTTGCAGACTGTGTTGCATATCCAAAGTCAACTAACTGGCTCTTCTCTCTTGAATCAACGGGAATTAGATGACCCCGTGTAGATTTGAATGCTTAGTCTCAAGCAAAGTTTCGCTGCCGGAAGAATGATTTCTTGTGGGCGTCTTCGTTTCTGTCGTATAGTTCTAGAAGTTCCCTTTTGAGATATCAGAGTATATACGGCTTGAGAATTAGATACAGGATCATGTACCTTTTGTGCGGTGGAAAGTTTGATCTTTTCGGAGTCTTGTTTGTTATTTTTGTGCAATTGCCGTGGTCATGGTCTGCCTCCATTACACCAAAAATGCAGTTTCCTTTCTCCAAAATCATCTTTGCTACAAAGCAATAGATGCCTTCCCTATTCTACCCATCTGAGTCAAGTTCAAGGATAAAAGTTTCTGAATATGTGATTGGGATGGCGGAACATATGGCTCATAAATGCTAGTTGCAAGATTGTAATGGAGATTTCCATTTTTCAACCTTCGACATAAGGCGACGAGTGTTTCCATCTCTAGACCCATGGACGTAGAACTTTCTCTAATTCTTGTGGATGGTTTTAATTTTAAGTGTCATACATTCTCATGTTGCTTATGCTATCTATCAGCTGAATGTGAGAGTTCGTGGCACGAGTCATTGTTTTTTGTGGGATTTTTGCACTTCATTTGAATTTATAAGTCATAATCAGAATATTGTGTTCACAAACTTCTATTTTTTCATGTGGCGATGTAGTCATCTGCAGATGTAGATTTTTTCACGGAATATGGTGAAGGGAGCAGGTATAAAATAGAGGAAGTCATTGGTAAAGGTAGCTATGGTGTTGTTTGCTCTGCATACGATACACATGTGGGTGAAAAAGTCGCCATCAAAAAGATCAACGATATATTTGAACATGTCTCTGATGCCACCCGCATCCTCCGTGAAATCAAGCTTCTTAGGCTCTTGCGCCATCCGGACATTGTGGAGATTAAGCATATCCTATTACCTCCATCCAGGAGGGAATTTAAGGACATCTATGTTGTGTTCGAGCTGATGGAGTCTGATCTACACCAGGTTATCAAGGCAAATGATGATTTAACACCTGAGCATTACCAATTCTTTCTGTACCAGCTTCTTCGAGGACTCAAGTACATTCATACAGGTCTGAACTTTGTGCATTGAGATTCATTATCTTGTCTTATGTAAAATAGATTAAGATCTCGACACCTAATCAAACTTGTTGCATTAAAAGATGCTGAATTTACAATGATAATTATCGATCTGATATGTTACCAACTGTTTATCCAGCAAATGTGTTTCACCGGGATCTGAAACCCAAAAATATCTTAGCAAATGCTGACTGTAAACTCAAGATTTGTGACTTCGGCCTCGCTAGAGTAGCTTTTAATGATACCCCAACGGCCATCTTTTGGACGGTAAGTATTTTGCCAATTTGAATTTTCATTTCTATCCAATTGTGAAATTTTCGCTGTTTTGCTGGGATAATGACGCCTTACTATGATTTAACTACTTGAATTCTCCCTGCACAGGACTATGTTGCCACACGATGGTACAGGGCTCCTGAATTATGTGGTTCCTTCTTTTCAAAGGTGCAAGAATTAACTCTTGCTCATTTGTTATGATATTCTTCACTGTTTGCTGTTTTTCAGAAGCTTTGGAAACCTTGATCCACCTGCTGAAACCAAGATCTTTGTTTTCTTGTTGTTGATTCTTGAGCACTAGTCACACACGTAAAAAAATTTCTTTTACTGTACACTACCCTGATGTCTTTCTATTTTTTTCTTTTACTTTGGCAATTCCACTCAGAGAATACCTGCATATGACACATTGATATATATGTCATAGCTGACAACTCATGCTCCTTTGCTGCCATGTCACAGCTTCTATCCATAGTAGTCTGTTCCATGTGCAGTGTTTATTTCATGTGTGCTAAGTAATATCTGTTCTGTTTCAGTATACACCAGCCATAGATATTTGGAGTATAGGCTGCATCTTCGCAGAGCTTTTGACTGGAAAGCCCCTTTTCCCTGGGAAAAATGTAGTCCACCAGTTAGATTTGATAACCGATCTATTGGGAACACCTTCAGCCGAAGCCATTGCCAGGGTCAGTTTTTTCAAGGAAATATGCTTGTTAATGATGCCTTTCTTTCATTAGACTCAATCTGGTTTGCATGTTTACCCTTAGTGTCTCTCCCTTTGATGAATTGTTGACTTTATATGAACAGGTACGCAATGAAAAAGCCCGTAGATATTTGAGTAGCATGAGAAAGAAAAGACCTATACCTTTCTCACAGAAGTTTCCCAATGCAGATCCACTTGCACTCCGTTTGTTAGAAAGAATGTTGGCATTTGAACCCAAGGATCGTCCAAATGCTGAAGAAGTGAGTTTATCTCTGTTTGTTAACCTTGCTTATAGTATTAATTCCTTGACTGATACCATGTGCTGGCTGGGAGTAGGCTCTTGCTGATCCCTATTTTAAGGGCTTGGCCAAGGTAGAGAGAGAACCTTCTGCTCAACCTGTGACAAAGATGGAGTTTGAGTTTGAAAGGCGGAGAATAACAAAAGAAGATGTGAGAGAGCTGATATACAGAGAGATACTAGAGTATCATCCGAAGATGTTGAAGGAGTTCTTGGAAGGATCTGAGCCAACGGGTTTCATGTATCCAAGGTAATGAATAAATGCTCCAGTTCATTCAATTCAGTGAGAAAGACTTTAATTTGCATGAATGGTTGTCATGTTTCTATTGCCTGTTCTTCACAACCTTTGGGGTTATATTCTTTCCCTAAGCATATCTTCAGTTTGATATGTAGCCTAGTGCTCGATTTTGGCATTACTCTGGTTTGTTGGCCAATAGGATTGATTAATATTATTTTCATGTTGAGTTAGTAAGCTTATGTCTGTTAAGGCCCCAGGTGGCCAGAGGCTTAGAGCTTTAGCTGTAACTTTTTGGCTTAGCTATGTCTTTTCATTTTATTTGCTACTTTTGGTAACGTAGTCTTTGAAAGCTTTAATTTCTAGTCTTTTTTGGCATTTCTTCCAAAAGGAATAGAAGTATAGACGAGCCTTGGTTTTTTGGGCTCATTTTGTACATTGGTTTGCACACCCATGGTGCCCTATACTTGAACCTTTTACCTATCAAAGAAAAAAAGAAAGAATAGAAGTATAGGCGAACATGTTAAATCTCTACACTTCACCTTAAAGGACAAGTTCCCACTTTCCATAATTATTATCACTAGAAGATCAATAGGTGGCAGTGGTTTTCTTTGTTCTGTGTGTAGAGGATGGGAGAATGAGGGGAATAGTTTCTGGTTCTACTTTTTACTCCTCTCTTGTTCTAGTTTCTAACTGGCTTTTGATGTTAAAAAGTATGCTGGATGATATTCTTAAAGCCATGGGTAGAAGTTGAGCTAAATGCTTCATAAATTATGCTACAATTTGGGTTATTCTGGAATAATAATGGATGTCATTAGAATCGGAAGTTTGACACATTTTGAATATATAATGGATTTTGTTAACGAGTGTTTCTAAGGCACTTGTTAAGCTAAGTAATTACATTGTTTTTCTTGTGTTATGTGGAATCATTCTTTTGAAAATTGAAATTTCCTGGCTAAGCATTCTTAATCAGTGGCCTGGGGGCACTCATTGACAAAACCCTTTCATATAAGAGATTTTGTTTTGTGAAGCGCATATGTTCATTTGATCCAAGGTCATTGTGTTTGAGAAATCTCAATATATTTATAGGGAAAAGAATCTTACTTTTTCTTCTCTTATGCTTGGGATGATGGATGAAGAACCTAAACTGTTTCATGTATGCTTGCTCTCCAAATCTTTTGTACTGGAGACATAGGCTACATACATACTCATCTTGTTTTTGCAGCATTTGGTTTAGTGATATTGATCTCATTTTTGGAAGTTTAATGCTTCACGAATTGCTAGGAAGTACAATATTTTTTCCACTCATTACACAAGCTGCTGTTGGGCAATAAATATTGTTCCACTACCAATTCATGCAATGAAACAAAGCCTCTTATTACAGTTTTCGGAGTATATCTTTCTTGCATGAATTTCCTCGAGAGTTGAGGCAAACAATTTTTGTGCAGTGCTGTTGATCATTTCAAGAAGCAATTTGCTTTCCTTGAAGAGCATTATGTGAAGGGTTCTAACGCTCCCCCACCCGAAAGACAGCATGCTTCACTGCCTAGGTATATTTTCTAGTTCACTTTGGTATAATTCATTTTCTTGATAATAAAATCTTATGGGCTTTTTCTTTCACATTTTGGGACTCACAAAGTTACGTAACTGCAGGCCATGCGTTCTGTACTCTGATTCAGTGCAGAGCTCAAATGAGGTGTCGGAAGATCTGGCCAAATGTTCCATCAAAGAAACTGATAAGTCTCTTACTGAGAGGAACTCTACAATCCCGATGTCAAGGCTTCCTCTTCAAGTCCCTCAAAGTATATTTCCCGCAACTTATTTCTTTCCGTCATCCCCACTTTGGGCTATGCTACTTCTGTCAATAGTGTGGAAAACGGGTGTTTGCTTGTGATCGTTTCTTAATATTTTTCGCTGCAGGTGGAGCTGCAAGGCCGGGGAAAGTCGTCGGCTCTGTGTTGCGCTACAACTGTGGGGCAGCTGCAGCAGCGACTACGGAGGCGGTCGAGCAAAGGAGGACGGTAAGGAATCCCGCGATTGCAGCTCAACATACTTCTACGGGCTCTTCGTATTCAAGAAGGAATCCAGGTTGTAAGAGCGAGAGAGCCGAAGAGGAAGGTATTGGAATTCCCAATGGCGTGCAGCCTAAGCCTCAGTATATGCCGAGGAAGGTCGCTGCCGCTCACGGTGGGCCCGGAAACAATTGGTACTGAATGGGAGACCAGTACTTGGTGCTTTCCGGGACAAACACGTTACGCTTGTCCGGCTTCATGCTGGCTCATCGTATCTCGGTCGGGCCAACACATTGACTAGAATCTCAAGATTAACATGCCACTGTCATTATTTATCAGATACAGCTAATAGTGCGCGGGGGAGATCAGAATCTGCTTCTGCTGGTAAACTACTGATTGCAGGTTACGGCGCAATGCGGGTGGTATAAGCAAAAATTATGATCACGCTCTCCTCGGAAACCGGCGAAGTAATGGAGGAGTCCGAGGTGAATTTATTTGGACTTCGTTTTGCTGATTTCTTCTTGGGGACAGATTTCTATTTCCAGATGGGACTGTGGTATTTGTTATTTGTACATTGTTTTGTAACTTCCGGAATAAGGACCCGCGAATCGGGCTGCTTTCAATGACAGATATTGTATTCGGAGTAAAAATGAAGTATCATTAGCTTACCTGAAGTTATGGGAATGTTGCCGTGAAGGCACTGATTGGGTCGGTTTTCACTCGTTGTTGTACCATAAAAGACCAGATGAGTGACGCTATGCTAACATTGCGACCGATTCAACTGCGGGTCTGAAGCCTGTCCCTGGCCACCGGAAGAAGCTGATGCGTAAAGAGCGGAGAAATGGCCGAAGGGATATGTCTCATGAGGGTTCTCTCTGTTCTACATTCCTTTGCAGGATGTAGCTCTCTGACTAAAAAAGTCGTCTCTAGAGTCTTAGAAGTCAGTGCTGGAGTATGGAGTTCAGTATTTTTTTTCTCAAAAGAAGTTTCCATTCGTAACCAAAATGATACATGAAATAATCTATTGAAAATCTTAGAAAGCATCCCAACAAAACAAGCCCATAAAGACGCAAAAGAAATCAAAATCCAGAAATCAAGGTCTATCATCAGAGCATGGTCAGCAGAGTTAAGTATGTGCTTGTCTTGAAAAGATATGTGACTGCATCTAAGTAAAAGACTTAGTGGCTGATATCGAATCACACATCATCATCTGTGACAAGCACACGCTGGGATCTCCTTTTGTAGCTATGGTTTTGCATCTCCTTTTGTAGCTATGGTTTTGCCTTTCGGCGGTGTGCTTAGATTTAGTTTTCCCAACACCATTGTCCAAGAGAGGCAAACAAGCTAGCAGATTGACTGGTTAAGGCACTGAAAGAACTCCCCCCCTAATTAGCTTTCTTATTGCCGAAACCTATGTTGGATATTTTAGTTTGTGATTCTAAGAATGCGTATGATAACCATTATGTTTCTCTGTTTTTCTATTTTTCTATTCCCTTAAACAGGTTTGGAACAGAAATCTGTTCGGTAACACAATTTCATTTTTTTTTTATTTTTGGGACAAATTTTTAACTCAATAATAAGTTTTAAACAGAAATAAGAAGTGTAAATTTTATATTTCTCTATTTATGAGAAATAAAAACTCTCTCCTCCCACTCACTTTCCATCACCACCACCACCTTTTCTCTCTCCCCTACCTCGCCCTCCCCCTCCTCATCCGCTACCGATGCTACCACCTCCACCACCCACTCCCCCTCCTCCACTTCCCTCGACCTCCTTGAGTGCCACTTTGCCACTAAGGACTTCTGGCAAGCCGACAAGGAGATTCGCCACCTTCTCATTGCCCCGGCCGACAACGCTGCAATCAAGCGCGACTGTGTCTTCTTCTTCAAGGTCCAATTCATCGCTACAGCCGACCTCAAGGCAATCGACAACCTATGGCATCACCACAGTAATGACCACTTTGGATACATCATCTAGAAAAGGCTGTGTGACAAGGCCAAGAGGTGGACATGGAGGTTGAGCAGTACAATTACAGGTCAATCCCAACTGAGTTCATGTGGGAGCTTAAGGAGAACACTTCAGGGAGTCACTTCCCACTCACCAGAGGGATTTAGTTGCTCAATAGCATCCTCACTCACCCTACTTTCACTGACATAGATCATGAAGAAGCAGGAGAAGAAGAAGAGACACAAGAACAAACTGATTCGGCAATCAAGAATGGCTGGATGTTCAACGGATTGAAGGACAAGAATGCCTCCTCAAAGCCATAACCCAAAAGGTTGTTCAAACCAGACTATAATAGAATTGTTCAACCGTAGACATTCTTTACTTAGGAATGTCATGAAGAGATCATTTGCAACATTAAATAATTGCTTCTTCATTTTGAGACACATATCTTCATTTACAATTCGAAAACAAGCACATATTGTATTGCATATTGTGCTATCCATAATTACGTACGTGATCAAGATAGAAGGGATAAGGATTTTTCCGGAGTGCCCGTTTGAACCAAAACAAGATGAGGTTACAGAAGATACATTGATTAAGAGAACATAAATTTTGTATCATTATATTTGCGTTCTCTTCTCTAATGGTGTAGTTATAAACATTTCAATTTTTTCCTAAATTTGGGTGAAATTTTAATGTAGTCATTTTGATCAATTTTCGCCGAAAATCACTAATATGGTAATCATGGGCTTTTCTCTGCAGCATACTGCCATGTCAGTAATTTTTTACCAAAATTAGCCCAAATGACTATATTGAAATTTCGCGCAAAAGTTTATGACTAAATTAATAAAATTGGAAAGTTTATGACTAAATAGGCGTCCGCACAATAGATTTTAGACTTTTTGTAAAATTGCCCCAATAAAAAATTGTATTGAATAAAAAAGTATGATGTTTAAGAAAACGGTTAAGTTTAATATGTATTTTCTAAATGAGTGACTGCAAATAAAAAATCACTATTTTAATTTGTTTTCCATTAGTTGAATGAGGTCAATTGCTCTAATTTAAGATAGAGAAAATGACATGAATAGTTCTTGAACTTTGATCCAATATTATACATGAATTTTTAATTTGTTCAATATGTTTCCTAAACTATGAATAAATGTAATTCTTAGATAATATTAAAATCTTCAACGTCGTTCTTTCACTAATTTGAGATAATGAAATCTGCTAATTTAGCTTCCAATTTGTTGAGTTTGAATGGTGGAAAATAAAAAAAGGTTACACATGAATTATTAAAGTAAGTTATTCATCTCAAATCAAGATATAATACACGGGAAATAATAATGGACACGTTGATGCCTTGATTTTTTCTCCTTTTTTAAAGTAGATAGATAAGAAGGTGTATGTTGATTCATCATTTTTAATGATCCAGCTCATTATATAATAATTCACGTCATAAATTAACGTCTAATTTGTCATTTTGAGCAATTGAAAAGACCGCATGATTCAGGATTCACACTGGAAAATTAAAAGTTCAGGGACGATACGATGTTGCACATCGAGTCAAATTTCAAGGACTATACCATAATCTCAATATCGCATTTCAGATCTTAAAATTTGCTTTCGAACTTTATTAAATAACAGAAAAAATAATTTTACAATTTTCAGTGCACTGATTATATTCGCGGCATCTAAAATTAATGTTAAAGAAACGGAATATTTTCATTCAATAATGAAACCCACATTTATGGAAAACAAAATCCCGAAGCAAAGAATAATTCCGACTTTATTTTCACCACAAGCAAAGCATTTTCTCACCGAATAGCTTCTTCATCTTCTTGCTTCGGCCACGCTACATAAAGCAAATCTCTCTACCATGGCGAGACACGCTCGAATCGCCCGGAGAAATCGATGACACTCGGTATCGAATTCCCATCTTCCGCCTGGTGAGTGCAATCTTTTCCCCTTCCTCGCTTCCTTTGCTAATCGCCAAGTGTTGGGTCTTGAGTTTCGGCGTAGATGGTGTTCGTCTCGTGCTGTTGTTGGTGATTCCGGCTCCGTTTCTTGTTGCCCGGGATCGGAAATGGGCCTCCTTTTCTGGGTTTTTGTGTCCATTGGGTTGATGGAGTTCGTGGGTAGGAATGGAACTTTGCTTCGCTTGTGCGGAACCATCGTTTTCTTTCTTTCCCTTTTACCCTTTTCTTGTTTTCTTCTTCGCGGGGAAGATCCGTCCCGGGAAAAGTTTCGGGTTCTTGAATGCTTCTGCTTTGAGCATTTTTCGACTTTCTTGATCTGCGGTTTTGGTTTCTTGACGCCATTTGTGATAATGCCCGAGTTTCTGGTGGGTTAAAGTGTTGCGGTTTCGATAATGCTAATCTGAGCATCGAGCTGGTGTTAACTGGGTCTCGCTTGAGCACTGGAAGTAGCGGGTTGCGACTTCCACTCAATGCACACAACCTGTTTGATGGATGGTATAATATAAAAAGAAGCAGTTTTTCTTATCTAAACTTAGGTGCTCTTAGTGCTGCTTCAGTTTCATTCTCCATGTCTAGGCAATAAAATCTTTGATAGATCTAAAGACAAGATTATTTTGGAGTACTGCTTTAATTTTATTATGCATATCTAGGCTTAAATTTTTGAATGGTGTACCATCAAAAGATTAGATAGTAAACCTTATTTTAAAATTTTGAGGATACCCATACCCATAGGTGCATTATTGGTTATTTGGTTCTAATTGATGTATACTGATTATGTGATGCTATCAGCATTTCATTCCTACTGTATCTAATATTGGCCAGGCAAGATAATTGATCTGCAATAGATAATTGATAATTCCTTGGTTATGTGTCTATTGTCACAGTGTACCATTGCTCACTATCCTATTAGCATCATAGAATGCATCTGCTTGATTTTTGTATTGGATTCTGGAGTCTGCAGGTGAGACACTGGAACATGGCGTTCATCTGCCCCGGAGTATAAGTTGCATCAGTTAGAAATTTCTGTTCTTTACATCGATATTATCGAACGTCTTCTTCCAATGATTTTTCGGAGACTTTGCCTTTCTATTGCCCATTCTGACCTCCATTTGCCAACCTTTCACAAAAGAATTGGGTGCCAATTTACTTCTACCAGGTCAAGTCCGACTTTTTTCTCTCGGAACTGTTATAAGCCAACATCTCAGAAACTCTCTGTGGCTCCTCGTTTTGTTTCGTCGAATTGCGAAATGGGTGATGCACGAAGACCCCCTGCTGTACCCATTCCATCGCTTGACAAAGCTGATAAGAACGAATTGCTAAGAGCCCTTGAAGCCTCAGTGGGTTCTTCATTTAGTCTTGAACCATTGCGCCCTGTTCCAAAACCTTTGATTATTGTCATTAGTGGACCAAGTGGAGTGGGCAAAGACGCAGTCATTAAAAGACTGAGGGAAGTTAGAGACAGTCTCCATTTTGTTGTTACTGCGACTAGCCGGCCAATGCGACCAGGTGAAGTTGATGGGAAGGATTATTACTTTGTCACTAAAGAGGAGTTTCTCTCCATGGTTGAAAAGGATGAACTACTGGAGTATGCTTTAGTGTATGGTGACTATAAGGGTGTTCCAAAGCAGCAAATACGTGAGTACATGGCAAAGGGGTATGATATCGTGTTGAGGGTGGACATACAAGGGGCAGAAACCTTGAGGAGGGTTCTTGGGCAGTCTGCAGTTTTTATATTTCTGGTTGCAGAGAGCGAACTGGCACTTGTTCAGCGGTTGATTGGTCGGAAGACGGAGACTAAAGAATCGCTTCTTGTCAGAATAGCGACGGCACGTGAGGAGGTCAGACATATTAATAAATTTGATTATGTTGTTGTGAATGAAGAAGGACAGCTGGAGAATGCTGTGAAATTGGTGGAGTCCATCATTGATGCAGAGAAAGCTAAAGTTAAACAAAAGGCTGCTGTGATATAGGGAACATAGATTAACTTCATTTTCAAAGAATGTGCATTTGTTACTGCGAGCTTAAAAAGCCCTGGTCTTTCTTATCAAGGCATTCATCTGCTGTTTGGCAGTTAGCTTATGGGAGCTTTTATGGAGACATCTGTGATTTATTTAATAAAAGAAGATGCAGAAGGTTGATAAGCTTTCATTTGAGTTTCATTATTCTCCTTTGACTCGTTGAGATTCTCAAAGAAGTTGCAGGATGGAATCTTGCACGTAGAACAGGCCAAGCTTTTTTTTTTCAGCTGATGTAATACATGGAAAAAAAGGCATCTGTCGTAAAATCATGCATATCTGCAGTTTTGAACGGTGTGATTAGTCAATGAAGAGCATGAGAATAAGAAAAAAATCATCATGATGAACTCCTAAATAATTGTGGAAGTTATTGAAGAGCCTCCATATCCAACATCTTTCTTGGCTTCCTCAGGGCACAGCATCAATGAGCTACTGTTGCTAAATCTGAATCTCTTTACTTATGGTTAGCTTTCTTTCTCCCCTAGTTCTTCCCTATTATGTTTGCGGGAGCAGCAAGATTTTCGTAGTTAGCTGGAAAGCAGTCTGTAACACGTACGATTATTGCTTGGTCCTTTGAGACGTTTGATGTCCTGTTCGCGGTCATGTCCAATGTATTGCTTATTGCATTTGCTTGCTGTTCATCTTATTTTTTGCTTTGCGTTTGTTTTGCATCAACCATCTTCTCCTTGACATGATATATGATGATGGGTTTCGTGTCGTCTTTTTGGTTTGGTTATCTCTTTTATCCCCAAAGCTTTGGGGTATCCCATGATATAAACCCGGGTCTCCTCCCTGTCACCCAATGCCCACGCTACTGGGGCATTTGCCTGGTGGACGATCTAAGGTGACTGGTTGGTCATGCAATTTGAGGTTTTACATTTGTCCAAGTTGCAAGGCTTATTTGAATTTAGACTGGTGACATTGTGGCAGCGTGCTCAACCAGTTAGCTCATCCATCATATAAGCGTTGCCTCAATGTTAAACAAGACAAGGGTTGTCAGTTGGGACGGGAGAATGTGAGTTACTTCTGTGCCAGGAACTCTTACCTGATAACTTTTTGGTCATGTTTGTTTTTGTCGACCGGTATGTTTTGGGTTTAGATTTTCAGTTCTTTTTTAGGAGCGATTGGTATGAACCAAGGTAGTTAGGATTCGCTGCATTTCATGGGAGAAGGTTAGTGTGTGGTGCTATATGGTCGACCGCCATTGAGCCGCCTGCTTGAGCAATTCTATGGAGTTTTGTCCACTCCGCGGTAAACTTTTGAGTCAGTACTCTAGCAATTGCAATGTCTCCATCGAGACTGAATCCAGTGGCTGCTGTCACAATTGTGTGATAAAAGGGTTCGCAAGGAGGTGCCTTGCATTGTTAGCTACATTGTTTGTAGCCAAACTTCTCGTTGGCCTTGCTGTATACACTCCAAAAAACTAGCCACTGGATGAAGCACTTTGTTCTTTCACAGTCAAAAAAATTCTTCAAGCAAACCTTGAGGGTAGCTTCGAAGAGAGGATTTCGAATGCTTTTGACTTTCAGATTCTCCAACGCAGTGAAATTTTCCTTTTCGTGTAACTCGCAAACTCGGAGATCTTGTGATGCAGAGGTTGAAGAGTCAAAGAACAAGAAAGAGTTGGGAGAATTCATTAGAAGAACGAGAGCAGAGGAGGAAGAGGACGATGAAGGGAGGTTGGGGGCGAGGCAAGAAGGGACATTGAGAGCACCAAAACATCAATTAGCGTTGGGTAATACCATGAGCAGTTCCTCAACTTTCTTTCAATGTTCAACGTAATTTCCAAACTTTGTTTTTGTTCAATTAATACCTAAACTTTCCGAAATCGGCTCAATGTGAATTTACCCTTATTTTCTGCCAACCATGGCACCACCTCAACAAAAGGTATTTGTAATTGATGATAGAGTCTAGTTCAATTAAAATTGATTTTGAAACGAAACCTCCTCCTTCTTCATTAGGGGTGATCGGTTTCCGGTCCGGTCCGGTTCCAAGGTGGAACCGGGAACCGGACCGAGAGAACCCGTTCCCAATTTTGGGAACCGCGGACCGGACCAGTTGGTTCTAGGACCGGGAACCGGACTGGACCACCGGTCTAGTTCCGGTCCGGTCCAATGGAACCGGTCACTTAGAGTTTAGTTTTTTTTTTGTTGGTTAAACACTTAAGGTTTGGTTCACATTTTACTAATTTTTGTCAATGAATTTATGTTAATGAAGTTCACTTAGGGTTTAATTCACATTTTACTAATTTTTATCAATGAATTTATGATAATGAAGTTCACTTAGAATTTAGTTAACATTTTATTAATTTTTTTAAAGAAAAAAATAACAAAAATATATATTAAATAGTCGGTCCGGTCCGGTCCGGTTCCCCCTTGGAACCGGGAACCGGATCGATAGTCCCAAGAACCGGACCAAACCCGTCGGTCCGGTCCGGTTCGGTCCCAGTTTGGGTGGTCCAAGTTGCTCACCCCTATTCTTCATCACGGTTGGCGGCTCCACTACACCGGCCGTTACCGCTATTGTCGTACCCGGTGTCGTCGCATCGTGCCTCACCGCCATCACTCCCATTGCCCACCCTCCGTGTAAGACATATTGGGTGGACCGCCCAAGATGGGCCAAACCCGGCCCGTGAGCCACAAGGGCCCATGAGGTAGTTATTTGTCTATCTATAATAGAAGGCACCCCTTGGAAAACAGACGTGATTTTCAATATATGCAAACACACTCTTTTGATACAACGTATTCTCTGCTTTTGCTTCGGAACGCACACGAGTACGAAAGACATTCGAAGAACTCTCAAGCGCAAAGTGGCACTTAATCTGTGACAATACCGGGTATGTTCGTTGTGTGATATACCTGTACGATCGGTGATACAAGTTGATGGTCCTCGGGCACATTTTCCGCATTGATCGAATTCGTTCCGAATATGTTTCGAATGCGTCGATCGGGAATTCAGTTTTCCCAACATTGGTATCAGAGCCCGTTTACTTGTTTCCCGATCATGCATATGTATCGTCTGAAGTGTATACTGCTTGTTTTTTCGTTTTGGCCTCGTTTTTGCTCGTTTTTTTCGCGTTGCCGAACTGTTCATGCATGTTTCGATTTTTGTTTTTCGTCAAAACTTAAATTTTATTGCATAAACAGAAAGTACTCGTCGAGACGAGCAAAATGATGGGCGGCACGTCGCCGGAGGATGCCGCACGCGCCCTCACGCGCTGACAAGTGCCGTGGGCGCGACGGCGCGTGAGGCCCACGCGCGTCCGTGCGAAAAGGCGCGTCGATGCCGCCCAACCGCCGACGTGACGTCATCCGGACCGACCCGGTTGACCGTTGCCCGACCCGGTTGATCGTTGACCCGACCCGTTGACTTTGACTCAACCCGTTGACCCGATTCGGTTGACCGTTGACTGGTCAACGGTCGGACCGGTCAAACCGAACCGGTTCAAACCGGCAGAATGACTCCGTTATTTCTTTCGGCCCGTTCGAGCTCATTTGAACTCCGATTTGGGCGTTCTTGGTATCGATGTGCTCATATCGGAATGCTCTACGTTATGGTGTATTCATATTACATTTTTGCTGCACTTATGAATGTGAAAATGCACGATAAACCCTATGTACACGTACTTAGGGGTATATTCTTCAGCATTTTCTCTAGTATTTCTCTATAGTTTTTTTTTGAAATACAAGTGCTAGATCATATGTATATGAATAAGCATTCCTTATCTTAATGTATCATGGATTATAAGTAATCATTCGTTCTGCATTCGTTGCAGGAACAATGGTACATTTGAGACGCACTCCGATAATCCCAAGAACGGCAGCTCAAAAGGAGAAGCTTGAAAACCTAAGAGTTAAGCTAGCTTTTTATCGATGGAACGCTAAAGATGATATGATGACACACATCATCAAGGTCAACAAAATGATACAGGATATCATTTGGAACGGTTTTGTAATGCCGGAATATGTAATGGTCGGAGCCCTAAAATACACTATGCCTGATGAGTTGGGAAGAATGCTTGATAAGGTTAAAGAAACCTTAAATGGTCCAAGCCATAAGATGCTTGTGGAGAATTTTGTGCAAGAATACATAAGGGTTGGGGCAAGAAGAACATCAACCCTTGCATTGAATGGGTCTCGGCGCAAATCATGGCCCGGATCTAGGGGTTTTCCGAGAGCCTCTGTTTATGTTTCGAAGAAAATAAAACTTTCTAAAGAATTTTATGAGTCCTTTCCTGTCTATGTGTGAGATTGGTACACTTGATGTTGTTCTTTTAGGATTTGGAATCAATTCTGTATATGTTTCAAGTTGTTATTACATGTTCTTAAATATTTGTGAATGTGTTATGAAATACATATATGGCTATGAATTTTTGTGATTTCTCATTTTATATTGCCATATCACATGTTATGTTATATGTGGGAAGTTCTTCAAAGTTTGTATAACTTTTGAAGAACCAATTTCTTTATATAAATGATTATGTTAATGGTAATTTCAAATTGGGTTTTTTAGACGATGATTGGGAACATAGTGAACTTTCGACTCTAAGACCTTTTGTGAAACTATTCATTAATATGATTAGTTTATGTAATCATGATGCTGATGAAGCATTTAGATAGGCTTTAATAACTCGTGCGTATGTGTCTGAAATGTTCAGATACGATGGCTTCAGCAACTAAGAACATAGTGGCTGAACTTAATAAGGGAGAAAAATTGAATGGCGACAATTATGAGATTTGGAGTCTCAAGATTCAATATGTGCTGGAAGAGCAAAAGCACTCAAAGCTCTTAACCAGATTATAGAAGAACCTGAGGATGGGACAACTGCCCAACACAAGAGGGACAAAGATGTCTTTGCTGTTTGGAAAAGAAAGAACTCTCTTGCTCGCATTACGTTGCTAAGCAGCATGGACAATGACATCATGCGAGAGTTCGGACGTTTCCAGAACGCCAAAGACATGTGGGCTGCATTGGCATCAAGATTTGGTCGAACTTCTGTGACCAAACTGAGACAACTCACTATCCGTTTCGACTCATACAAGATGTCTCATGGAAAGACCATGAAACAACATTTGAGGCAGATGTCGAATATGATTAGTGAGCTAAAGGATGTCAAGGGCACATACTCACC